TACTTGGTTTCAGATATCATGATACAACAGAAAGAATAAATAAATGAATTAAAAGTGCCATGTTATGGATCTTGCCGGAAGACAAAATTAGTGTCCTCGTATTAAACAGAATTTCCAGTCAGTTAGTCAAAGTAGGCTATCGGTACTTTCACTCATATTTACTAACTAATATGTACATGTCAATGTATATACATGAGGAGAACAGCGGTATACTTCTGTGCCCAGATTCATGATTATATACTGAGAAATTTGGATTTGAAGAGTTATACTTCTTTTATCACTGTAATAAACTTCATCTACAGGCAAAATCCAACAAGTTGACAGAAAAATCAGCGAAGACAGGACTTCAAGTGAACATAGAGAAGACAGAGGTGATGAAGATACCCAACCAACACCAACAATAATAACAACAAGCTCCAATCATCATCAATGGAAGAAAATTGAAGGAAGTAACCTCCTACACCTATCTAGGAAGCACTGTTTCAACTACAGGCAGCGGCAGTGGCACACACGAGGACGTCAAATCCAGACAGGATCGGAAAGACAGCAAGATAGGCGTTCATTAACCTGAAACCAGTTTGAAGATCGACTGCACTGCACTCATCATGTGGAACAAGATTCAGATTTTCAACACCAACGTCAGTCAAGTCAGTGCTTCCATGTGATGGTTGAGAGACTTGGCGCATCACGAAACTGATTTCCAACAAACTACACACATTCATCAACAACTGCCGACGCTGGCTCGTTACTAAAGCTCAGATGAGATGGCCAGAATAATAGGAATAAGCAACAAGGAACTCTGGCTGGCTGGTAGCGAACCGACGAAGCAAGAAGCTATCACACAAGAAATATGCACTGGAAGGAAGTGGAAATGTATTGGACATACAATGAGAAGGCCGACTAGGGACATCACTCGCCAGGCTAGGTGCTCGAGTAGAATCCAAATGGGAAACGACGAGATGGGCGTCCGTGGCAAGGGTGACATAAAGCAGATGGTGTGAGGAAGAAATCGAAGCTTGTAGGCTGTCGTGAAGCCAGGTTTAAAAGATTGTAGAGATAAGAGTGCACTGGAGGCGTGCTACTGAGTCCCTATGTTCCACTGGGAACCCAAGGGACAAATAATAGTAAATAATAATAAACTGTAATATGATGGACGATACTAAATTAAACTCGGAGATCCTCAGAATTGTTGACAGGTAGAAGATAAAGTACACATTGATTTTATGAATGCATAGCGATTAAATTAGTAAAATCCAGCTGACGATTCAAGAACGATTCCTTTTTCAAACTCTTCAAATTTGTATTCCCTCTTACTTGAGCTTTTTTCACGTCAAATTACTGCTAACCACTGATTAGTCATTAGAGAGTAATCAATTTCATATTATGAGGTCCTAAATACCGATTAAATTTTGTACATATTCCTTCATCATAAACCTTAAGCTACTATACTAAGCGTCAAGGTTCACTTTGATTGATTTTGAGTGAAGAGAGGCCAGTCAGTAGGAAACCTTGCTTGGCCTATCTTTTGTTTTTGCTGGAATTCTTCAACAGCTCACATTACTCAGTGCTTGAGTCAGAGATACTACCCTGGGCCTAGTCAGGTAGCGACTAATGAAGATGGAGAGCAATGTTGATTCTTCTAACCTGGTGACCAATATCGAAGTTATCAACAAAATCTAGTCAGGAATTGGGATTAGAAGAGATGAAATGGGTTACATCGCAGTGACCGACTAATGTGCCTAGTGTAGTCCTACAAGTCACTTGTGGCCCGAATACCTCAAACATTTCTCTAAGTGATGCAGGTTCAAATCTGAGACTGAACATCACTTCTGTAGAGGTTGCAGATACGATGTACACTTAAGTTCATAAACATCTCTTAACATACCCCACACCCATCCTGGAATATATAAACACATGTCTAAGAAGCACCATAATAGCTTAATGGTCATGTCTCTGAATTTAGTGCTTAAAGAAACTGGTTCGAATCACTGAGTGGAAACCAGTTTCCTCATTGACGCAGACATGCCTTGTTGATGAGCTCCAACAAGCTTGAAACCTAAATTCAGAGCTTCCGGATGGTTGACTTTCACCATCTGACATCGAAATACATTGCATCACAGTGTCACACCACTTTTATCAGTGGACATATTGCAAAATTCATCAATGGACTTCGACCAATGCTAAGCACTAGACCAAACTAGACACCGACATAGGTTACGCACCAGTGAGCAACTCATGAACAAATTTCTCTCCAAAAACGTCATCCTCAGCAGTTGTACAATCACATTCCAACATAACTAAGGTGCATACTTATTACCAACAATTTTCACTAATTATCAATCAGTATTTATGAGTACTTACTGTCAAAGAAAATGTGCAAAGCTTCTGCAATGGTCCGCTCTTTGTGAGAAAGAAAACCCTTTTGCAGAACTTTTGTCTGTTCGAATGATACTTTATGACCTGAATACAAGGCGAGTGGCAATGGTAGAGTTTTTTTCAAGTATTTCCAGATCATAAGAATTTTTTGGTGGTTTCTTGCAACTTTGATTGTGTTTGGCTAGACATGTTAGTATTTGACGTGATGTTTTTCCAATGTATGTGGAATTCTATTCACTACAGTCTACCTTATAAATACAGTCCTGTTGTTCCAAATGGAGAATCAGGTTATTTTTTATTTACATAGGTGTGAGTTCAATGTATTCGTTACCTTAAAGAGTACTCTGATGCTGTAACTACCAAGGATACGTCTTATTTCTTATGAATTGGATGTTCGATAAGGAAGTACTATAGTACTTATCCAATCTTTATGGCTTGGCTTTTTCGTATGTTTACTTGATAAACTTTTTCGATCCTTTCTAATAGTTTGTCCGGATAGTTATTTTGTTTCAAGACTTCCCAAACAAGTTGCCTATCTGCTTGCTGAGATGCCACTTTATTTGGTATCCTTTGTGATGTCATCAACAGATTTTTGTCAACGTTTAACTTAGTTTTCAATGGATGAGTCGAATAACGTTGAGGAATAATACAAAATATTTGTTTATTTTATTATTTGTTCTAATATATACTACACCGGGATTATTACACAAGTAAGAAATACACTTTATACAATGGATATTGGGAAGTGTTTACTTTGGATTGTTGAGGCTGTGTCAATACAAATAATTGAAACCAGAATTATGTAACCAGGAGCAACTTTGTCATTTATTAGCCCTTAAGTATGTTGGAATGTGATTGTACAACTACTGGGGATGATGTTCTCGGAAAGAAATTTATTCGCTGAAGTGTTTTTTTCTCTTATATCTACATAGGAATATTTAACTAATGAATAAATTGGTACTCTTGATTGAATGATCAGATGTTGGATATAGATTCGAGGATGGATGCTTAACAGAAGATCGTAAAAATTTTAAATTTTTAGTTTATTTACAATTTCTACTCATTATCAAGGCATATTTGTAGGTTTGAAGGAAATTAGTGTTGCTATGGTCTTAAGAAAATCATGTGCGAACCTAATTGCAACGCCACACTACGCATCATCATAGAACAGAGTATAGAATGGCAGTCAACTCAACTCTACCTCAACTTTATCGACTTTGGGGAGGCCTTTGACAGCGTCGACCGAGAAGTAATTTGGAAACTGCTTCAATACTACGGAATACCGCAAACCTTTATAAGCCTCATTCAACAACTATATGAAGATGCCACATGCCAAGTAATTCACAATGGGAAGCTCAGTGATACTTTTGAAGTGAAGACAGGGGCGAAACAAGGTTGCCTACTATCCCCCATGATATTCCTGATTGTGGTCAACTGGATCATGCAGCAAACAGTGAGGAGTGAGAAGAGGGGGATACGCTGGGTGGCGAGAAAGAACCTAGAAGATCTGGATTTCGCCAATGACTTGTGCCCGATGTCACACAAACTTGAAGACCTACAGGCGAAAACTAACAAGTTGGCAGAAGAGGCAGGGCAGCGAAGACGGGACTTCAGGTGAATATAGAGAAGACAGAGGCAGAAGTGATGAAGATACCGCACCAACAACTCCAACAACAACAACAACAAATTCCAATCACCATCAACGGGAGAAACTTAAAGGAAGTAACTTCCTTTACCTATCTAGGAAGCACTGTTTCAACTACAGGCGGGACAGATGAGGATGTCAAAGAATCAAAAAAGCAAGACTGGCGTTCATTAACCTGAAACCAGTGTGGAGATCGACTGCACTGCACTCAACATGTGGAACAAAATTCAGATTTTCAACACCAAGTCAGTCAGTCAAGTCAGTGCTTCCATGTGATGGTTGAGAGACTTGGCGCATCACGAAACTGATTTCCAACAAACTACACACATTCATCAACAACTGCCTACGCTGGCTCGTAACTGAAGCTCAGATCGGAAGGCCAGAAAGAACAAATAACAAGGAGCTCTAGGAACGAACCGACGAAGCAAGAAGCTATCGCTGAACAAATATGCAGAAGGAAGTGGAGATGTATTAGGCATACACCGAGAAGGCCGACTAGGGACATCACGCGTCAGGCCCTCGAGTGGAACCCAGATGGCAAACGACAAGTTGGGCGCCCGTGGCGAGGGTGACATGGAGGAGATCGTGTGAGGACGAAATGAGAGCTTGTGGGCTGTCGTGGAGCCAGGTTCAAAAGATTTCAGAGAACAGAGTGGAATGGAGACGTGGTACTGAAGCCCTATGTTCCATTAGGAACCCAAAGGACTAATAATAAATAATAAATGGTCTTAAGAATTTACAAAATGAAAATTCTAAATCAAAAAAACGAAGCATGTTCAACTTTTAGTAGCAGCATGATATTTTTCTTAAATCTCAAGGTATATCTTGTAACGGAATGTAACCCCAAAGATTCTCCTAACTTTCTTTTAGTCATTCAGTCTGACTCGTTTTACTGTCTTAACTAAAGGTAACTACAGGTTACAATAGAATTTATCAATTAAATAAATAAATAAAGATAAATACGAATCAATTTACTTACTTTTTTTCAAGTATTTCTCGTAATTGAATTGAATTTCCTTGTTTTACAGCAACATGTATATCGTAGCCAGTTACAGGCATCTCTAATCATAACAAAGTATTAGGAAAGAATAAATTAAATTGAGAGTAATTTACGATCTGTCTGTACATGTACTATCTCACTCCAATTTTCATATTCTTTCAAATTTTTGAAACGAATTTTAAAACAATATGTTGTATCAGGATCTAAATTTTTACAGATATATCGATGATCATAACCACTGAAGAAGATGAAATGAAAAGTTTAAAGTTGATCTGTATAAAGAAAAAAAAAGTTACATATATCCATTTTCCCATTCATCAGATGAATCCTTTTTCAAGATAACTTCAGCTAATGGATTGACTTTCATCTTTCTTTTACTCATTTCTTCAAGAATCCTGTTCAATTCTTCTTTCCAGTCAAGTTCTATACTCATATAGGTTACTTCAACAATATTTGGTGGAGCAGGTTTTCTTTGACTTCGATTATTAATAAAATCACTTTTAATCATATTGATTTATTGATTCAAAAGTAGATACGTCTTCCTAAATAAAAATAGGATAAAGTTGGATTATTTTTTAATGATCAAAAGTTGATTAAAATAATGATGTGTTTTTGTTATGGGTTCGAAGCGCTAATGGCTATATGTATATATTTCAGAACGAATATAATACGCACGCTTAGCTGACAGCTAACTTGGTACGCAAGAGACATTGGCTGCAACCTCGGGATGAATAGAGAGAAGACCGAAGCTGGCAGATCGGAGAGTGTACTACTCCGAGAATATAATATAATAACAATGAACCAATCCAAAACACGTGAATAAGTATACACATGAAAACTGACCTTGTCCGCGATCGGAGAAATTCACATAGTAAGAGTAAAAGTTAACCAATCAGCGAATTACATTACAATTCAGGCAGAAAATAGACTATTAGTCATACCACCAAAACGATGTGGGAATGACACGTTAAAATGTTCAGATCAATAACAATGTTTTATACAAAACTGGGGCATCACAACACCTCCCCCTTTTTGAAAAAAAAAGATCAGAAAACTTTAATACCTTCCCTTTTTGGGATCTAGTTGGAACCGCACTGTTTGGGACCGCTTCCGGTCCGTACATCTTCTGGGGGGGGGGGGGCTCATTGCTGAGTTTGGGCTCTAGTTTTTTCGTCGTCGTCGACAAATTAAACGTATCCAGCAGAATATCGAGTGGTATGGTTGGATTGTCTGGTTGATTGGCTTTTCTATGACGCATCTGATTCTTGTGTCTCTCCCATTTCTCCTGAGCCACTATTATATCGTACATCACTCCCACGTCTTCCCATGACAACACCTTCCGTCCACATGCCATGTTCTGGTCTGTAGTCTCGTAAGTAGACGGAGTCTCCTTTGTTAAAATGTGATCCCACCGTTTGCGTTGTCTGTGCACGACGTGGTGTGGCGTACGTAGCTTCCTTCCCATTAAAACTTCTGCAGGAGATTTGTGGTCTGGTAGGGCGTCATTTGGCGTTGAGCGGTAGATGAATAGAAATTGTTGTATGACATCGGTGTCTCCTCCTCCTCCTTCTGCCTTAAGGAAAGCTTGCTTAAAGGTATCCACAAGTCTTTCTGCCTGGTCATTGGATTGCGGATGGTACGGTGGTGTACGAATGTGATGGATTGCATTCACACTGCAAAACTCTGCGAACTCATGGGAGGTGAATTGTGACCCATTATTTGAATCAATGGTCTCGGCCAACCCATGGCAGATGAAAATATTTTTAAGAGCCGCGATTGTTCGGCGTGATAATACGGGAGATACAGTGACAATCTCCGGCCACTTGGAATAAGCATCAGCAACGATCAGATAGTAAGTTTCATGTAATGAACCTGTGAAATCGATATGAATTCTAGACCAAGGTCGATCCGGCAATGGCCAACTGTTTGGTGGAAGACGTGGAGGATTCTTAGCCGCGTTGACATGATGCGCAGCGACTGACAAATTTAGCTACATCAGAATCTACATTGGGCCAATAAGTATAGCTTCTGGTGATAGCTTTCATACGTTCTATTCCTGGATGACCAGTGTGAAACTGTTTTAAGAGTTTTGCACGAAGAGACTGGGGCATCACAACAGTTTTTTAGCAGGAAAAAGTATTACATAACTTTATGACTATGCATTGAGACACAAAATATATTCACTTCATGATATAACTGGCGATCATGTTGTATTTTATGCTCCTTGTTAGACAACTAAATAAAAATTGAAATCTAACTGTAATCCAAGTTTCAAATTAGTTAGTGACAAACATACAAAGTCTGATGGTCGTGAGGACAAGTTATTCAACGATGACATTGGGTAGCGGTTGCGCTATATCGTGAGCTAACAGATGTTACAAACATGGATCATTGGATTCTGACCCAGTGGCTAGCTCAATGGTAACGTGCTGGCCACGGAATTTGAAGGTCACGGGTTCGATCCCTGGTGGGGTTGTGGGTACGCACTGCTGAGGAGTCCCATACTAGTCTGACGAAACAGCTGTCCAATGCTCCCAGATTTCCTTTATTCCTCCAACTGATGTCAGTCTACAATGAATAACAACTTGAAATATTTCCAAATCTCCACAACTCCCTCAAAAATACAAGTAGAAATAACAACTAATCTGCAATTATTGTTAAAAACTCATTAAAAATCAGTTAAGTATAAAAGTATACCGTCGAAGTAGACCATCATATATGCTTGCTGCTACCAGTACCAGTGATAGTCTAACTTTTGTCTCCAAGACTAATGACATATAAAACAACTAACTAATCAAGGTGAATTGTATACAGCGCTGTAGTATGATTCAATCTAAAATGGACATACTGAAAAAATTTACCTGGTGGTGACTAGGAGTGGAATGCAGGTCACCTGTTTCGTCCTAAGTGGGACTCTCCAGCAGCAAATTCACCTGCACCCCTGTGAATGATGATGTTCTCACCGACACCTAAATTCTTTATCCATCGTATCAAACACCAAAACGTTATCCACTAGGCCAGTGAGTCATGCGAGTCGCCCATAGTTCAACCGGTATCAGTTATTACTAGTTGTCGATGTCTGCGATTTCTCGTTTATTATACTGCGTCAAATTGGTTAATCTATGTTGACATATGGGTTCCTAAGTGGTCTTGTGGATAACGCTTTGATGTTTGAAGTGATGTTAACGGTATTCTAGTCTCCATGGGAACATCACCACTCACTGGGGTACAGGTAGAAGCACCTGATGAGTCCTAAATAGGAAAAACTAGTGTTCTAGATTCAACCGCTAGCTACAACTAGATGAATTGTATAAAGCATTCATATAGGAACCCATATAACAACAGATGTTGATCAATTCGATCCAGTAAAACGACGTGAAGTAACGAGCATCAACAAATAATAGATATAGAGTTGTATTTTTATCATAGTACCATTTTATTAATTGTTAATCTGATTTCGTTGAGAAAAATGCTTCATACTAAATGTAAGTAGGAAAATAATGACGTTCATTTATCGATCTGACCTTTCAAGTATTTTTCCTAAGACGCTTCAAAACACTGAATCTAACAATCTCCATATTCAAGACATCATGTAGGCACAGATTATTGTTAATATTCATTGAATGACAGAGGTGATGAAGATACCTAACCAACACCAACAATAATAACAAAAAGCTCCAATCATCATCAATGGGAGAAACTTGAAGGAAGTAGCCTCAATCACCTATCTAGGAAGCACTGTTTCAACTACAGGCAGCGGCAGTGGCACACACGAGGACGTTAAATCCAGACAGGATCCGAAAGACAGCAAGATAGGCGCTCATTAACCTGAAACCAGTGTGGAGATCAACTGCACTGCACTCAGCATGTGGAACAAGATTCAGATTTTCAACACCAACGTCAGTCAAGTTAGTGCTCCCATATGGTTCAGAGACTTGGCGCATCACGAAACTGATTTCCAACAAACTACAGACATCATACATGAACAGCTGCCTACTCTGGCTCGTTACTGAAGCTCAGATGAGATGGCCATAATAATAGGAATAAACAACAAGGAACTCTGGCCAGCTGACAACGAACCAACCAAGAAGCTTTCGCTGAACAAATATGCACTGGAAGGAAGTGGAGATGTATTGGGAATACACTGAGAAGGCCGACTGGGGACATCACGCGTCAGGCCCTCGAATGGAACCTAGATGGTAAACGGCAAGTTGGGCGCCCGTGGCGAGGGTGACATGGAGGAGATCGTGTGAGGACGAAATGAGAACTTCTGGGCTGTCATGGTGCCAAGTTCAAACGATTTCAGAGAACAGAGTGGAATGAAGACGTGGTACTGAAGCCCTATGTTCCATTAGGAACCCAAGGGACAAATAATAAACAATAATAATTCATTGAATGACTTTCTGTAGAAAAAATCTTCTATACTCTGACAGTTTTAAAGTATAAAACGTTAGTTTGTACATACAAAGAAAGCTCTTTTGTAAGTGTTTTGTAATTTATCGATAAAAATATTTGTATTATGTAGCAGGAAGTTGAAATTCAGGGATGAATACTAGCCTGTAGCGTGTGGCTGAAGGTAGCAAACGAAGCGTTGAAATTTCGTTTTTCCTTCGAATCCCTTTCAGAGTAAACAACTAGTCTATAGTAGGCGATTGCACTTCCTGTCCTGTACTAAACACCTCAATAGCTTATTGAACTGCCTATATTAACTCTCTAAAGCACTGTCAAATAACACTTTGAATTATTCCTAAGTTTTACAGGTCTTAAGGTCGATAACTTCAGATATAAATCAAAAATTTTGCAGTCAAAGGATTTGTTTCTGAATCTGTTCTACTTATTACTATGATTTTAAACTTGTAAAACTGTAAAACCATTACCATGTAATGTATCTTCTTCTATGTTAAATAACCTGCAAAGACTAGATACTGTTTACTAGATGACCACTTCACTGACCTGGGAAGTAGGATCAACCCCGGTGGGTTAGTTGCCGATGAGATTTCTGCACGGATACAAAAGGCTCAATTGGCTTTTGCCAACTTACGCCACCTATGGTGCCGGCATGATATCGGATTGTCTACTAAGGGTCGCGTATACTGCACAGCAGTCCGGTCTGCTCTGCTGTATGGCTGTGAAACATGGCCATTCCAGGTGGAAGACATGAGAAGACTTCAGGTGTTTGATCATCGTCGCCTTCGTAGTATAGGACGTATTCCGTGGTGTCACCACGTGAGTAACACTGAAGACATGCGTAGAGTTTTAGGGAGTACAGGTAAGTTAGTTGACGAGGTTATGAACCTTCATCGACTGAGATGGTTGGCTCCGACATGTGTTACGTATGCCTAGTCGCCGATTGCCTCGTCACACAATGTTGGCCGAAGTAGGTCCAGGCTGGAGAAAGGCCTGAGGTGGTCAGACGAAAACATGGCAACAATGTATGAGGTGTTTGACTGTTGGTTTGAGCCATGCGGGGCGATGCAGACTAAGTGGTTAGGGTCGGCGGGATAAGAGTAACCAGTGGTTGGAGACTAACTCTAGGTGATAT